TTCCAGCTGTTCTAGAATGTCGGTGCCACATGTCTGGAAATTTTGTTGAACTATGGTATGGGGCAGAATGACGGTACCACTACAAGAATTGAGGAATGATGTTTTTCAAGAGTGACAGGAACAGTATCGATATGGGAAAGACGAGAGAGCTCATGAGCCTGGGTAGCATTCTGTACGGTAATGATGCGCGTACCGCTCTTAAAGAGCATGAAAAGAAATATCTTTACCAACATGGCGTAGGAGTGCCTTGCCAATACTATGGTCAGAAAGATAGGCAGTAGAGGAAGTTGGTCGTAAAGTGAAGAATTTAGTCCACTGTTCAGTCTGAAATGAGCGTGGAAAGGTAGTGAAGGACGTGTCAATCGTTTCTGAGAAGAACGAGAAGGTGGAGAAGTATCATCAGCAGGTAATTGTCGTTGACGTTTAGGCGTGGGACCAGAGTTGGTCCGACGTGGAATGGGTCGGCGATTTGAAAATTGCTGCACCCTAGAGGGAGAGGCCTGAAGCATAGTCAGAGGAGAGCGAAGGTCCGATAAATCGAAGGAGTCAGTCGAGGCCTCAGTACCTGAAGCGGGTGAGGAAACAGCACCGGCAATAGGTACAGAGGCATGAGGAATGTCTGAAGAGTGGTCCAAAGACGAGGCGGGGTCAGAACGGGGTGCGGTATCAAGAAGGGGCCCGGGGGTACCAGGTTCATGGACTAGGGCTGCCATGGTTAGGTTACTTCTTTCTTTTTGTTTTTAAGAAAAAAAGAAAGAAGAAAAGAAAATAAAAATAAAAAAAAAAAAGAAAAAAAAAGGGGGGACCGGGGAGGGATAGGTCCTAGGAGGAATGAAAGGGCCAGAAATCTCCCTCCGCGCCCAAGAGGACCTCAGCACCGCAAGTAGCGCAGATGCAGCATGGAACCCGTGCCATACCCTACCCATCATGCTAGTAAACTAACAATCCGGGATAGCAACCTCACATCTGCCGAGCTACCTCGGTGGACAAAAAGAGAGGGCGGCCGGATATCCACCACAAAGCATACCTCCTTCGGCCACCACCCCCGGAATCCGAAAGGTGGCTTCCAGAGATACACTCGTCGCCCGAAAGACACCCAAAGCTACTCCGGGATACCGGAGAGGGATCGGGACATCCCCAGGCGATCCAGATTCCACGGCAAACTACGCCACTGCTAAGAACCTCAACGGAATGGGATGGACCCCGGTATCCTTTCTCCTACCTAGGAACTAGCGCGCCTGTGGGAGAAATCCCAAAGGACAAAAAGAGGAAGGGCAAAAGGGAGGAGTGGGGAGGAGGAGGAGGAAAGGAAAAAGGGGAGGATGGGGAGGATGGGATAGGGGAGGGGAGATTGGGGGGTAATTAGGTTCGGTCTGAGGAAGAAGACCGATAGGTCTAATTCCTCAGACCAAGAGCCTCTTCACCACGCCAAGGAGCCCCCCTTGAAGAGGCACGGTGACCTGAGAATGCTTTTCCTGACCAGTTTTAAAGTTTCAATGCTGATGTATTCCACTTCCAGAAAGATTCAAATTGTTATTGATTATGAGGGTGTCAGTTTGCTAATTTTGTAAAGAAATTAAGTGCTGTTATCTGTCCATGATATTACTTAGGAATGCCTCTTCTGAACAACTTTGAGCTTAAAAACAGAGACAAATAACCCAAAGTTAAAGTTCACTTTTATGCTATGTATGTGAAAATTTGACATTTTTAACAATTAAAAAGCGAGATTTATTGGTTGACGTACAATAAGTGGAGTAAGCCTCTTTTGATTGGCTTCGAAATTTGAAGGTTTGCATCAAATCCTCAATAAAGTAGTCCTCTATGTAATGTATATCTGATATAAATCAAACATATTTAAGATCAAGTCTACTGCATCCAGTGTTTGTCCGTTAGTGGCAGTGTCTAGCGGCTCCCAACTCGCCAGACCTAGTCTGCTGCATCTGAGGGTTGTCTCTTAGTGGTAGTGTGTGCCCAGTAGGCTTCCCATACAATAGACCAAGTCATCTTAGTAAGGCATTATGATGCAATGGATTTTAGTTCAAATCAACACTCCTTTTATCTATTATGCTGTTATACATAGCTGTCACTTTTGTTAAAGTGACAACTTGTTTAACCCTTAAATGGTCCAAATGTATATATACGTTTTTTCAACATCTGAAAGTATGTAAAAAAATGTAGATCTTCTTTTTTGTTTTACATTTGAAAACGTGTAAAAAAACTTTTATCTACTTTTTTTTTGTTATATGTAAAAAAAAATAGATCTACTTTTGTAGCACTACGAATTTGAACGTCAATCTCTTTGGACCGTTTAAGGGTTAACAGAATAATAGATTGAGCTATGTAAGTATGAATTAAAGTAAATAAATTTGAATGGGGGGTTTCTGTGTGATAACATGAGAAAGTCTCATCTGATCATCTTTGAACTTCCTCTGAAAAGATCTGGATTGGTTTTAAGGTATAGGTACCAGTTTTTATTATAAAAATTCTACTGTCGTACCTGCATGTCTTTGGCTAGGCAGTGATAGTGTGATTGATGGAGAAAGTGTATCTTTTTTGGGTCACCCTGCCTTGGTGAGAGATTGCCGGCATGTTTAAAAAAAATAACAATTACTTAATTTTACTAACTAGAGAAATGGTTTTGTTCCTCACTCCTCTATCTTGCCTATAAAACGTTATTTATCATTTGGCCTTATAGGTGAAAATTTGCCAATTTTATGTATCTACCATGTCTGCTAGAAAAATTATTGGATGGATAATGAGAACCTTCAAAACTATGATCATTCTCTTCAAATTGCTTGTGCTCTCTAGGCTGGAATACTGCTGTACACTAACTGCCCCCTTCAAGGCTGGAGAAATTGCTGACCTGAAGAGTGTACAAAGAACTTTCATGCTGCATATAAGTACTATAAAGCTCCTAAATTACTGGGAATGGTTGAGGTCCCTTGATTTGTATTCCCTGGAATGCAGGCAAGAGAGATGCATGATAATATACACTTGGAAAATCCTAGAGGGATTAGTACCAAACTTGCACACAAAAATTACTCCCTATGAAAGCAAAAGACTCGGCAGGAGATGCAGCATTTCCCCAATAAAAAGCAGGGGCGCCACAAGTACACTAAGAAACAACACAATAAGTGTCAGGGGCCCAAGACTGTTCAACTACCTCTCAGCATACATAGGGGAGATTACCAATAGACCCCTGGCTGTCTTCAAGAAGGCACTGGACAGGCACCTAAAGTCAAGACCTGACCAGGCAGGCTGTGGATCGTATGTCGGTTTGCGTGAGGCCAGCAGTAACAGCTTGGTTGATCACACCCTGATTCACCACGAGGTCTGGTTTCAGACCGGACTGTGGGGGGGGCACTGACCCCCCCAAACCCTCTCCAGGTATACTCCACAGACATGGCAAACCTAGATTTGTCTTAGTTGTCAAGGATGAGCTCCAGCTCCTGACCTCTTAAGCAGTTTAGAGCCATAGGTGTCTTAGGTTATATGTGCTAAGCTTCTAGAATTGCTCTTGGCCCAGGACTTCATGATATAATTTATAGTTTCTGAACCTTTTGGAAAAGCTGACTTGCAGCTTTTTAAACTCTGAGGGATTTAAAGTGCAGTTGCTAGGCCACTTGCATGATTTAAGGTATATGGAACCAGGGTTACTGGAGGTAATTACCCCTTAAACTGTCCAAACGTAGATCTACGTTTGCACACGTAGCACTCCGACCTTGATTTTCTCCATAAGAAAGCATGTAAAAAAAAAAATGAAGATCTACTTTCGGAGTGCTACTCGCGCGAGCGTAGATCTATGTTTGGACAGTTTAAAGGTTAATAAGTCTCTAGAATCACACTACCAAAATACATCTAATTAGGTATCTCCCAACTGAAAATACCTGAGTGTCTAATTTTTTTTATCTGAGTTTTCCGTGCAATAATTTGAAAATGCCTATTCGGTTCAGCCTCAAACTTTCAACGATGGTATATTTTGCTTAGAGGAAGACTGAAATTGTTTCTGGGCTTATTTAAGTGCCAGTTTGCTAATTATACACATCTTGTATATATATTTGTTGAGCTAATGCTTGTGGGTCTTTTGCTTATGTTAAGATATAGGTGCTAAGTGCAAAAGTGCTTAACTAATGATCCTGGGTCTCTTGAGGGTGTACCTTTGATGAGTTTCGAGAGTTTTTCCAGTGGAGCCTGGCCATGGGCCAGGCTAGTCTCCTGCTTGGCATATCAACTAGGCTGTTGCTACTAGTGGCCTGCTGCTCCCACATATTCATTACAGCCTGGTTAGTTTCATTATCACATTCATATTAAGGTGAGAATTAAACTTGCAAGAGTCATGCTGTGCCTGGGGAAATGGAAACATTCAGGTTCAATCCAAGACAGGAAAGCACAAATTCAGTTGGTTAGGTCAACAGGTTCACCAACATCAAGGAACCATACTTGAGGGTACTGATCTACAATTTTTCGACATCTTGCGGAGGACTGGCACATAGCTCATAGTTTCCTTGAAACAGTTGAGGTACAAATGGGTCGAGATACAGTGGGATGGGATAATGGGCTGGAGATAGTTATGGGATATGGTGAATATGTCTCTCACCATTGTACTGTGACCAAAACACATCTATTGTGTTTAATTATTGGCTATCCTATTCAAATAACCTTTATTACAATTAGTCACAACTCAACATAAGCAAACAATTATTTATAATTTGTATTATATGTCAGGGCATCCACAGTAGGTCTTTGAATGTGTCCCTCACAGATAGAGAGGCCTAATGTATTACATCTCTAGCCCCAGCAGTATTAATTCATGTTTTACAGTTGGCATTGAAAACTATTAGGCAGAAAATTTTTCAGGTAGTGATACATTATACTATATCCAAGTACTGTACATTCCTCATCACATTGAAGGTTTCATTATTTTTATATTATAAACAATTACTGCAATAAATCTTTTGGCGTGCATCACAAGTAACCTGTCTAACCTCTTTTTCCAACAGAAAGCGTGGGGGCTTTTTTGCTATGGTAAAAGGCAAAGAATATGATTTCAAGAAGGAGGAAAACAGAGTCCAGCTGCGGGGCATGATGATGACTATTTGTGACATCGCTGCTATTACAAAGCCATGGGTTACACAAAAGCAGGTATGCTGAAAGTTTTATGCAATGACAAACATCTGTTGAAAATTTCAGCTGTGTTTCATCTTTAATGGATATCAAACAGCAGCCTTTTGCAGTTATGTGAATAGTGTAGTACAGTGGAACCTCAAAAATCGAACTGCTCCCAACACAACCAATTATGTAAGTGCTTTTATAAGTGTATTTTTGAGGGTCTGAAATGGACTAATCTAATTTACATTCCTGATGGGAATAAATTCATTCGGTAAAGGCACTCAAACAGCCTTCTGGACCGAAGAAAGGTCGATATTTGAGGATCCACTGTATTTATATCCGAGCTGATTGTATTTCATGTGAATACTTTTTTCATTAAATTAAAAATGAAATGGGATTCTGTATAGGAAGAGCTGGTAATTTCTTTTAGATTACTAAAAATGCATAGCTGCATTTGCTGAAGCTTTGTTGATCTTTTCTAGGTGGCAGAACTTGTTGCTGGAGAGTTCTTTGAACAAGGTGACATTGAAAAAGAAGAACTAAAGATTACTCCAATTGTAAGTTCTGAGAACACTTATATGTTAATTTTGATGTATTTATATCCCCTAAATGTATATGGCAATGGTATGTGGATTTGTTTTACAATTAATTAAAGATCAAGTTCTATTCTTTGTTTTTGTCATGATATAATGTATAGAAGAATGTGAAGTGAATTACTGTTACTTGGCTGAATAAGCATTCGATATTTTTAATGAAATGTATCTTCTGAGGATTTATTTTTTAGATTTAAAACCAGATATCTCTTGTAATATATTCTTTTAAACATAATGGTTTTAAGTTTTAATAATTATTTTTGCAGGACATGATGAACCGTGAGAAAAAAGACAAACTCCCTATGATGCAAGTTCTCTTTATTGACTCAATTTGTTTGCCAGTTTACGAGGTACTGTATGTTTTGTTACCAGTGTACATTTTGCACTAATCTTTCAGACAGAAGAAAATATTGTTTTGTCATAATTTCATCATAATCTTTAACTTTTCATAATCTTGATAAACAATTGCAAATAGGTTTTTCTTTGTGTAAACTCCATATCCCAAACCCCAAACCTGTTTAGTGTTAAATTTACTCAGGTTTGGCAGAGAAAATTGTCAGGCATCCACTCTCTGACCAAGCATCATCGTGTGTATTTTATTCTAGTATTGCTTTTCATCCCATAACTGTTACAAGATGGGAGTAAAGGGCTAGTAACCCCCTTGTGTATAAATTACTAAATGTAAAAGGAAGATAAATTTTAAGTTTTCTTCCTTTCCCAACATACTATCCATCTCCCACCCTTCCTCGGTGGGAGATGTGTACCTCTTCAGTACAGGAAAGACTGTGCTATAACTTAAATTGCCAGGCATACCATCTAAAGGGGACAAAAAAATACAAAACATCCAGGCCATGGGAAAACCTGGGTAGCCACAGCCACTCAAGAGGGAGAGGTTTTTTAGTGCCAGGAAGGAAAAAAAACTGGCAGGAAATGGCAGAAATCGTACACCAAATCCAGTCATTCCTGGAGTGGAACCACAGTCGATGGCCTCCACTCCAAACCAACAGATACAGATACTAATGCCGGAAAAAAAATCCCCCCCCAGTACCAACAATACCACCAGTCCGATAACATTCTTCTTTGCAAATATACAGGGTCTAAAGCCAGCAACAAACAACAAAATACCTTTCATCCATGGACTGCTTACAGAGGCAAAGGCAATGTTCGCGGCTTTCACTGAGACCCACATAAAGGATCACTTGGACAACGAAATATGGATCCCAGGTTACAACCTATACAGATGTGGCAGAGTGAACAGGCAAAAGGGGGGGGTTGGCCTGTACATTGCAGAGTCACTTGTTTGCACAGAACTGCTTAATGCCTCAAATGACGTAGTGGAAGTTTTAGCAGTAAAGGTCGAGAACCAAAACCTAGTCATTGTGGTAGTCTACAAGCCTCCGGATGCAACATCCCAGCAATTCCAGGAACAGCTGTTAAAAATTGACCACTGTCTGGAAAATCTTCCAGCTCCTGCACCCAACATCTTGCTCCTGGGGGATTTCAACTTAAGGCACCTGAAATGCAGGAATATAGCAAATAATATTGTTGCAGTAATAACACCAGGAGGCAGCTCTGATGAAAACTCACACTCACACGAGCTTTTAAATCTCTAGCACAAAATTCAATTTAAACCAGCAAATAATAGAGCCTACTAACTGGAGAATACACTAGACCTCATCTTCACTAACAATGATGATCTGATAAGAAATGTCACCATATCAAAAACAATATACTCAGATCACAACATAATTGAGGTTCAGACATATATGCGTGGAGCCCCAGACCGACAAAATGAGACTAGTCACGAGGGAGCATTCACCAAATTCAACTTCAATAACAAAAACATAAAGTGGGACCAAGTAAACCAAGTCCTAACCGATATAAGCTGGGAAGATATACTAAGCAACACAGACCCCAACTTATGCCTAGAACAGATTAACTCGGTGGCACTCGATGTATGCACAAGGCTTATTCCTCTAAGAAAAAGGAGGAGTAGATGTAAAATAGAAAGAGACAGGCGCTCCCTTTACAGGCGACGGAAAAGAATAACAGAGCGGCTAAAAGAGATAAATATATCTGAAATGCGCAGGGAGACACTGGTCAGAGAAATAGCAAGCATCGAACTTAAGCTAAAAGAATCCTTTAGGAGTCAGGAATCGCGGGAAGAACTAAAAGCTATAAATGAAATCGAAAGAAACCCAAAGTATTTCTTCTATGCCAAATCAAAATCGAGAACAACGTCCAGTGTTGGGCCCCTACTTAAACAAGATGGGTCCTACACAGATGACAGCAAGGAAATGAGTGAGCTACTCAAGTCCCAATATGACTCAGTTTTTAGCAAGCCGCTAACCAGACTGAGAGTCGAAGATCAAAATGAATTTTTTATGAGAGAGCCACAAAATTTGATTAACACAAGCCTATCCGATGTTATCCTGACGCCAAATGACTTCGAACAGGCGATAAATGACATGCCCATGCACTCTGCCCCAGGGCCAGACTCATGGAACTCTGTGTTCATCAAGAACTGCAAGAAGCCCCTATCACGAGCCTTTTCCATCCTATGGAGAGGGAGCATGGACACGGGGGTCGTCCCTCAGTTACTAAAAACAACAGACATAGCCCCACTCCACAAAGGGGGCAGTAAAGCAACAGCAAAGAACTACAGACCAATAGCACTAACATCCCATATCATAAAAATCTTTGAAAGGGTCCTAAGAAGCAAGATCACCACCCATCTAGAAACCCATCAGTTACACAACCCAGGGCAACATGGGTTTAGAACAGGTCGCTCCTGTCTGTCTCAACTACTGGATCACTACGACAAGGTCCTAAATGCACTAGAAGACAAAAAGAATGCAGATGTAATATATACAGACTTTGCAAAAGCCTTCGACAAGTGTGACCATGGCGTAATAGCGCACAAAATGCACGCTAAAGGAATAACAGGAAAAGTCGGTCGATGGATCTATAATTTCCTCACTAACAGAACACAGAGAGTAGTCGTCAACAGAGTAAAGTCCGAGGCAGCTACGGTGAAAAGCTCTGTTCCACAAGGCACAGTACTAGCTCCCATTTTGTTCCTCATCCTCATATCCGACATAGACAAGGATGTCAGCCACAGCACCGTGTCTTCCTTTGCGGATGACACCCGAATCTGCATGACAGTGTCCACTGCAAGGCTCCAGGCGGACATCAACCAAATCTTTCAGTGGGCTGCAGAAAACAATATGAAGTTCAACGATGAGAAATTTCAATTACTCAGATATGGTAAACATGAGGAAATTAAATCTTCATCAGAGTACAAAACAAATTCTGGCCACAAAATAGAGCGAAACACCAACGTCAAAGACCTGGGAGTGATTATGTCGGAGGATCTCACCTTCAAGGACCATAACATTGTATCAATCGCATCTGCTAGAAAAATGACAGGATGGATAATGAGAACCTTCAAAACTAGGGAGGCCAAGCCCATGATGACACTCTTCAGGTCACTTGTTCTATCTAGGCTGGAATATTGCTGCACTCTAACAGCACCTTTCAAGGCAGGTGAAATTGCCGACCTAGAAAATGTACAGAGAACTTTCACGGCGCGCATAACGGAGATAAAACACCTAAATTACTGGGAGCGCTTGAGGTTTCTAAACCTGTATTCCCTGGAACGCAGGAGGGAGAGATACATGATTATATACACCTGGAAAATCCTAGAGGGACTAGTACCGAACTTGCACACGAAAATCACTCACTACGAAAGCAAAAGACTTGGCAGACGATGCACCATCCCCCCAATGAAAAGCAGGGGTGTCACTAGCACGTTAAGAGACCATACAATAAGTGTCAGGGGCCCGAGACTGTTCAACTGCCTCCCAGCACACATAAGGGGGATTACCAACAGACCCCTGGCAGTCTTCAAGCTGGCACTGGACAAGCACCTAAAGTCAGTTCCTGATCAGCCGGGCTGTGGCTCGTACGTTGGTTTGCGTGCAGCCAGCAGCAACAGCCTGGTTGATCAGGCGCTGATCCACCAGGAGGCCTGGTCACAGACCGGGCCGCGGGGGCATTGACCCCCGAAACTCTCTCCAGGTCCAGGTAAACTCCAGGTATGTTGGAAAAAAACTACATATCACCATCACTGAAACTTGAGTTAGTATTTTCACATAACTCAGATACTACCCACAACTGTACCATCATTCTGTACACCCTCAAGATTCAGGTAGGTTTGCCAGGAAGGGTTCTGGCCTGGGTCTTTGCCATGTGTTGACCTGGCATACACACCTTAGAGATGAACAACTGACAAGATGAGATGTCAGGGACTGGTTTCAGGAATCCTCGATATAAAGTTTTTTCACATTTCAAAACCTTTTAATCTGATTTTGGGTTTTAGGACCAACATTAGGAAGTCTTCCACTGGTACCCTAAATTATGGAGGTGGTAGATGAGAACCATATAGAACAGTGTAGAAGGGAAACTTTCATCCTGCAACATTGGAGTTTAATTGTTTGGTAAACACATGAGTATCTGTAAGTAGAGGATCTTTTATATAGTCTCTTGGCAAATCCTAGAATCCTTGGTTAGAGGATTTTGCTTAAGCTTATCTCCCAGGCTAGCCAAAAACCATTCATCTAATGCATATATATTAGAGATTCAGTAATCCTTGTGGAGGACCAGCTGGTCTAGAACTTTTGGCTTCTGAATGGCCAGTTTTGTATGTTACTCTTCCTTATTATACCATTAGGGATCATACCACAAATATGACTAAAACACAAGTCAGGATGGTCCCCACATTCATCCTATATTTTAGAGACTAGTCCAGGCCTGGTCAGTGGCTTTGAGGAATGTGAACCTTTCCATTACCTGGCCGATGGACACCTTAAGAGGCACGTAAGATAAGATTTCATTCAGATCTTTAACCCTGAAGGGTTAGCCACCCAGGATAACCCAAGAAAGGCAGTGCATCAGCAAGGACTGTCTTATTTCCATTGGGGTCCTGAATCTTGTCCCCCAGGATGTGACCCACACCAGGAGGAGGAAATTAAATCTTCATCAGAGTACAAAACAAATTCTGGCCACAAAATAGAGCGAAACACCAACGTCAAAGACCTGGGAGTGATCATGTCGGAGGATCTCACCTTCAAGGACCATAACATTGTATCAATCGCATCTGCTAGAAAAATGACAGGATGGATAATGAGAACCTTCAAAACTAGGGAGGCTAAGCCCATGATGACACTCTTCAGGTCACTTGTTCTATCTAGGCTGGAATATTGCTGCACACTAACAGCACCTTTCAAGGCAGGTGAAATTGCTGACCTAGAAAATGTACAGAGAACCTTCCCGGCACGCATAACGGAGATAAAACACCTCAATTACTGGGAGCGCTTGAGGTTCCTAAAACTGTATTCCCTGGAATGCAGGCGGGAGAGATACATGATTATATACACCTGGAAAATCCTAGAGGGACTAGTACCGAACTTGCACACGAAAATCACTCACTACGAAAGCAAAAGACTTGGCAGACGATGCAACATCCCCCCAATGAAAAGCAGGGGTGTCACTAGCACGGTAAGAGACCATACAATAAGTGTCAGGGGCCCGAGACTGTTCAACTGCCTCCCAGCATACATAAGGGGGATTACGAACAGACCCCTGGCAGTCTTCAAGCTGGCACTGGACAAGCACCTAAAGTCGGTTCCTGACCAGCCGAGCTGTGGCTCGTACGTTGGTTTGCATGCAGCCAGCAGCAACAGCCTGGTTGATCAGGCTCTGATCCACCAGGAGGCCTGGTCACAGACCGGGCCACGGGGGCGTTGACCCCCGGAACTCTCTCCATTTAAACTCCAGTCGACTAATACCCAGGTACCTACTTGCTCCTAGGTGAAGAGGACAATAGGTGTAAGGAAATGCATAGAAATGTTTCTGTCCCACCAGGAATCGAATCCGGGACTCCGTGTGTGAAGCGAGAGCTTTGCCAGCCAGGCCACAGGGTTTCTGCGTCCTCTAATAATATTCATTTTTCATCTATAATCTACCTTGTCCATAATTACCATTGCATTTGCTTAGTCTGTTTCATAAGGTGGAGTCTAGGATCTTTCCTTAATTCGTGGTAATTATGGACAAGGTAGATTATAGTTGAAAAATGAACCTGCTATTAGAAGTCGATGAAGCTTATGTGCCCCTTAACCCTCATATGGTTGGGTGATTATCAGTGTTTCCTAATACAAACACAAAATTGGGAATGGCTCTGAGTACAATCCATTCTGGCATCACAAATGATAATTATGCACACTTAATAGTTACCTGGTTATGCTGTACCACCTCAGCATTGTGGACAATTTTTAGTTGCTTATTCATGATCTTTCAAAGATTTGTGCATCCAAACTTAAACTAATATGTAGGAATTAGGACCAATAAAATTTACAGGGATCATTAAGAAATTTATGTAAGGTGTCTAAAGAAAATTAGCTGCTGAGAAAGGGAATTTGATCAAGAGATTGGCACTGGCCTCAGAGTGTAGCATGTTGATGACCCAAGGATGTTTCATCCCTGTCTACTGAGTTTCTTAATGTAATGCCTAGAAAAAGTCAAAATGAACCTGATTTTTGTAGTGTGCTAGTGTATAACACCCATACACATCCCTGGTGTTTGGAATTTTTTTTTCTTGGGGTAGGGATACCTTAGTTGGTTTAAGTAGTAGATATGAGAGTACAGTACATATTTTGAATCACTTGATCTAGGTAAAGAGAAGCATAGATCGATGTTTTGTTCTGAAGCTGGATTTAGGAAAATATTTGGTTAGTCAGGTTGTTCGGGCCTCAATGAACAGGAGAGGACATCCCTGAGTTGTAACAAGGCAGTAGATGGGATTACCATGCCCAGTGAGCATTGCAAGATATTTTTTGATTGAAAAGTCGACCTGAGTATGAGAGGTAACTAGAAATTGTGAGTAAAGCATGAAGGCTACCCATCATAAAGCTAAAAACACTTGCCAGTAGGAATGCAGAGAACTGATAGAATTCAGGAATGTGGTAAAAGCTAATTTATGTCAGCACTAGATCTAAAGACCAACCAGGAAGCCATTTCTGGAGTATAGGAAATACTGACCTAATGGAGTTCTAAATGTCTGTGGTAAGTCATGGAAGACTAAAATTTCAGAAAATTGATACATTTTACATTGGGGAGGCAAAGTGCAGAAATTCTGGGAGAGAAGAAAGTCTGTTTAACATCTGAGCAGGTAGAGTTATGAAACTGGAAGGGTAACCAAGGCGAGAGAATGAAGTGCGAAGGGTGGAAATTTAAGAGTCAAGAAAGTACAGATAAGAGGGCAAGATAGATTAGGGATTTGACACTAAATTAATATATTGCTCTTTACTGATGTTATTTTTGTTAAGATGTGGGCTCTACCTTTTTTTTATAAATGGAAATACTATTGAGCTGACTCATAATATTGCTTCTTCTTGTTTTTAGATCTTTGCCGAACTGACTCCTGAACTGAAACCCTTGTTAGAAGGAGTTCTGGAAAACAGGAAGAACTGGCAAATGCTTGCAAATGAAACAATGAACAAGGACAGATCTTCAATCAACAACAACAATAACAAAAATAATAATAACAATAGCAGTGATGCCAATACAGCTGTTGAGAATGCTCATTCCATTTAAACAACAGTGATGCTAGCACATGTGTTAGGAACACAACTTCTTGCTAATCAATATCAATGAGAAGGAAATTCATTTGAATCTAAAACTCTGCAATAATCCTTCCAAGTGAAAGAAGAAGAAGACATAAAAACAGTTAAGAGGGCAATTACAAGTTAATATTATCCAAGCTGTGGGAGTGAAACCGACTCGAAACAAGTTTCACATATTTTGTTTAAAAACTGAGTATGATTGTTGGAACCCCACTTCAGTGTTCAAAGCCTCATTTTAGGTACTAAAGCTGAGAAAATGTACCTGGTGATTATGTGATGTTATCATAACTATTCAGATGTGATTTGCTAGAAATACTTTATTAATTGGATGATTTCTGTGCAAGGAAGCAGTTGTGTTCATTATAACTATTCATTGAAATAGTTGATCTGCATTATATTGTTTTCAGGAAATGTGTTCTAGGTAATATGTGAAATACTGTAGTAATTTTTATACTGTACGGTAACTGTATACATCCTCTTAGAGGTGCTGAAAGAAATGGACTTTTAATACAGTGTAAGTCACTACATAAAGCTCCATACTTATAGTGTGTGCTGTTGCCCAAAACAGTACTTAAAAATTATATAAACACAATGGTGAACCTTATATAAAAAAAAAATGGTGCAAAGGAAAAAAATCTTCTGAAGACTTAATACTGGCTTCCTCAGAGGTTAGAGAAGTTTAGAGGTAAATGAAAAAAAATTACAGTGCAAAAGTATGCTATGAAAAAAGTGAATGTAAAATTCAAAGACATTGTATTTCTGTATTAATGTTTTATCAGTCCTGAATATTTATTTGTAATATATTCCAATCTGTTCTCTGGATACATTTGAGTTGTACGTATTGTGGCAATATATATTACCACAATAAAGTAATATTAGTATAAACAAATCTCATTATGTACATATACAGTACGTGTTGAATGGTCTGTGTTGAGGGCTACACTTTATCTTAACTTTCTTAACCAAGAAATATATATATATACTTGTATATTGACAAGTTTTTCTCTTTTTCAGACAAATTTATTCTCAGAAATTCATTCTCACCAATTTTGAGAAAAAATTGGAGGGAGAATTTCTGAACTGAAATTTGGATTATTTTCTTATTCTAAATTTTATGAATATGAGAAAATATAACTTATTATTAACTATATTTTCTCTTATACAGAACAAAACTTTGCTAGAGAAAAATGTCCAAAATTTATTTTAGGATTTTTTCTTATTTGTAAGTTTCTGAATAGGAGTAATGCAAATTAATTTTTCAAAAAAAGTGAACTAATTTAAAAAATTGTAAGTTTTATTTTTTTAATTAAATTGACATACATGTATTTTCACATTTTGAAAAATCGGAACACAAGAGATATTGTTGTATTGCAGTAATACTTATTACCATAATACATACAAAATAAATGTTTTCTGACAAAGAAGGGCTACGTATACAGGGTTAGAAATTTAGTTTAATTTATGGACTTGTGATTTTAAAGTTTGCCAAGAGCCATATTAGATTTTTTTTTTATATACAGTAGTGTCTTGGCAGACTATGCACAGTAATACATGGTCTAGAGTTTGCACAAATATTACAACTAGCAGGATTCTGTTTCACCCAACTCTTCAAATATTGGCTGAGGGGAGGAACAAATCATAATACCTTGCTACACTCTGTATGACCCTTACGGGTTTAGCGCATTTTTTAAATATATTAATACTACAGAACACGTGTATATGTGAGAAACACAGAGATAAAAAATGAACTTTAAATTTGGTGATGTAGTTCCTCAAAGAGTCCCAGTTTATTATTGAATTAGCATATATTTTTTATTGTACTTACTTTACATGGTACTTTTACATATTTATTTATTTTTTAATTAATTTCCATTGTCTGTTCTTAACTTTAGTAGAAAACAGTGAATCCTTCAAATGTTGGAATGCATGTTTTTCCTTATGATGTTTCTGAGCATGAGAGTTGCCTAATAATGCTTGATATACTAAGAGAATGTCTAATATTCTAGGTACAAATATCAACTTTTTTTTAATTCAAGATGGCAGACAACTTAGGTATAGCATTTTAAAAATTATAGTACGGTATATTCGTTATGAAAATTTTTAACTGTCATTGGATTCTTTAATCAATGGTGAACAAATGAGTAGCCAAAAATGAAATAATCATAGAATTTTTTTTTTTGTTACTGAAATGTCAGGAATTTTTTTCTTAAGTGATAGCTTTGTAAATTAAAAATAAAAACAGCAGAAACAGTTGGGATAACTGAAGGTGTAGGCACATTGTGATGCCAGTACATATAACTTTGTATCAGGTTAAGTGCTCCCCATGATAATAATATTACTGTATACTAGAAGTGCAGTGTTTATAAGCTTGCAACAAAATTTTATGGATTAATAGTAATTTGTAAATACACATGTACAATACATGGCTATCTTTGCTGAAGAAATAAAGTTTTGCCTGAGCAGCAAGCTATATAATTCTGATCAGAGGAACGAGGTGAAAATTGTGAAGGAATACAATAGTAGTAGATGTCACGTCAATAGATGTGACATCTACTACTGTTTGATTCCTTCACAATTTTCAACTCATTCCTCTATACGAGAATGATACAGCTTGCTTTTCAGGCAAAACCTTATTTGTAAAGTGAAGATAAACGAGGTTAGGTTAGGTAATGTTTGTCAGGAAATGACTAGTGTTTCTTGATGCAGGTCTTAGTCATATGATGACCCACAGCTGAAGCTTTAGGCCATCTGACTGAGGCCTTCTGCTATGATAACCAAGTATTGTACTTGTGTATTAAACTAGTATTAATTAACCAAAAAATAATAAATTTACCCATGTGGTTTATTTATCACCTTTATAGTGGTGCACCTTGACCTCACAACACTGGTTTCTAATAGTACTTAGCAAGAAAATAGAGAAACAAAAAAGCTAGTTTCCTTAATTTTTCAATATGTCAATGCTTGTTTTTTAAGAATATTAAAAACCCAAATTTACTTTTAGACATTAAAATTTGTAAATAAAATGAACCTGATTTATTATATAGATAAAAGTCATATATAATTAATAATCACAATTTCATCTTTACAATTGATATACATTTTCTTCTTAAAAATACTGTACATAAATATACTCTAATATTATAGGTGCAGTACTTTCATCTTCGTACATTATTTTCAAGCATTTCTTTTAGTATACAATTAATTTTTTGTGGTAATAATTGCCTCAGTGAAATTCATGCATCTTATTTTTTTCATAATGCACTCACTGTGTTAAGGGAAACTTAATAATTACAAAGCACCTCCCAGAAAGAGTGTACAATGTTGTTCATGTGATCCCATTACCATATAATGGGGTGTGTTTACTGGGGCATCATTATTTATATTTACGTATATGCTAATGACGAATTGTAGTTGGATAGTAGTGAAAAAAATTATTTGATGAAGGAAAAAATGTAAGTATAGACTAATGTACACATTAAGTCTTGAGTCCTCTAAACTGGCACATGGAAGCTTCTGTGTTAAATGTTATTAATAATTAAAAAGAAGTGAATTCTGAAGTATTTGGATAGTTTAACATTGAGCTAACTATTAACATTTACGAGATTGTCTTTCTCTAGCGCAGTGCTGTTTCTAAAGTATTACACGACACAATATGAAATTAAAATTATAATAATTTTTCCCTGGCAGCCATCTAATAATTGGGTAAACAGAAGTTTACTTATTTGAAATTGTTATTAATTTGAATAAATTCATAAATTTGTACGGATAAATGATTGTAACAAGTATTAACTAGATAAATTAAATGTTTAATATGATTAAGTCAAGTTTAGCATTGTATATGGAAATTAAGTAGAACTGAAGATAAACTGAATTATGCAAATGCCAAGTTAGTGCTAAAAATGCAGTAATTGAACAAAAATAAACTTTTCTAATAAAAATTTAATAATTTTGTTAGAAGAGTTGCTGGATAGCTAAGATGCAAAAGTGGGTTGAAGTCACTGAGAGAGAGTGGAGCATCACGATTAAATTAAAACGTGACTCGTATGATTGGGAAGCTTGCGATGTCAACTACAAATATCACTTACAGTTTGACCACCTGTGACTTTCCCAACAAGCTTATGTTTTCTTCCATTAATATTCTGTCCTCAGACAAGTTAATTTTGTTTGATTTTTAAAGTGTCCAAAAGATTAGATATAAAGAAATTAAACTTATGTTTCAGAATACAGTACAGTACTGTAGTTTTATATAGTGCATACAAATGTCTAGTTAAACGTTTTGCTTAATGTTAGTTGTAGACAATCCCCAAATTATTTTTTTTGTAATATGTAGCTTACAGTTCAGTACTGTTGTATAGGATTTCAAGACCTCATCTCCCAAATAAACAATTGAACTACTGAATAATGCTTACCTTTTAAGTTATATTTCTTAGGTCATTAATACAAGGTTCTTATGCTCAGGGCTATTTAGATTTGAAACCTCTTGACAACAGGTATCCACTATGTTTAACCTGTTGATGTAAGTGTCTATGTTCTAGGATGTATTCAATGCTCAAGGGTTTAATCTAAGTGTATTGCATGCTGTCACACAAAATTCCTGAAAAAAAAAAAAAAAAAATCCTTGGTAAGTTTCATTAATATTTATAATATACATGCACAGTTGAGAAAAAGATGCCATTTTTATGCATAATACATGCAACATTTTTAGGGACTTTTTGTATACTGTATATTATATATATATATATATATTATATATATATATATATACACATATATTATATACACATATATATATATATATGCACGTGTGAGATTATTCATGTGTATTAAACCTAGTCATTATTATTTAATTTTTTGGTATTCATATGTGAATGAGGTGAGCACAGTCACATTTTTATCCAGGTACAAAACATTATTTACAAGTCATGTCAGTTAGCACTCACTGTGAAGAAGGGTATGGAAAAATTAAAATAATTTAAATATTTTACTAATAAACTAATATGTTAAAAATTACCGTACTCATTTTTCTTGTGAATACATTAATTCTACATGATTTTCATGCAGTAAATGATTTCAATTATACAACCTCTTTCAGAGAACACAGCATATCTATTTCTGTTGTAATCATGTGCACAATAAGGTCGTGAATGGTATACTGTGATTTTACACATTTTTGAGATAAAGTTACAGTAAAAAGTGTTGTTCTTAACTTGTATTATGTATGTATGTATATATATTATGTATATATATATATATACACACACTTGCACTTAACCTTCATGGCACATAAGTACAATAAGGCACCTCTAAATTACTGGAAATGGATGAAGTCCCTTGACTTGGAATGCAGGTGAGAAAGATAAATGATAATATATATATATATATACACTTGGAAAAGTCCTAAAGGTATTAGTACCAAATTTGAATGTAAAAATCACTCTCTATGAAAGCAAAAGACTCTGCAGGAAATGCAATATCCCCCAGATGAAAAGCAGGGCCACCACGAGTACGCAAAGAGACAACATTATAAGTGTCAGGGGCCCAAAACTGTTCAACTGCCTCCGAAGATACATAAGGGGGATTACCAATAGACCCCTGGCTGTCTTCAAGAAGGCACTGGACAGTCGCCTAAAGTCAGTGCCTGTCCAACCATGCTGTGGTTCATACTTTGGTTTACATGAGGCCAGCAGTAACAGCCTGGTTGATCAGGCCATGATCTGTTGCGAGGCCTGGCCACAGACTGGGCTGTGGGATTGTTGACGTCCAAACTCTCTCCAGGCATGTATATACAGTGGAACCTCTACTTGCGAGTTTAATCCGTTCCATGACTTTGCTCGCAACTGGATTTGCTCGTTTGCAAAGTAAATTTTCCTCATTACATTAATTGAAATGCAATTAATCCGTTCCAGTGGAATTCTGTACTTCAATAATTTTGCTTATTTATCTATCTCACTTCATCTAATATGACATAATAAACAATATAAATAACAGAATAATTTCGCTAATATCATCTATACAGCTTATTTATATATCACAGTTTGTCTAATATGACAAACAATATAAATAACATAGAAACATGATATATACTCTAGAATGAATAAAATATGTCATATAACATATGGAGGCGGCCACAACCGCTCCCTCTTTGTTGTGGTAAACACTGCCATCTAGTGACGGCCTTTTGAAGCCGTCTATTATTATAATTATTATATGTAGTACATTATTATTATATATGTATTATTATTATTGTTATTATTGTATTATATTATTATACTAATTATACATATTATTATTATATAAATAATTTGTAATTTTTATTCACACAAAAAATATAAGATTTACTGTTATTCCTTATTGCAATAATTGTATAAATAATGTCAACTCATTCATGAATGCATATTGGAATGGACAGTGATGTCATTTGTTTACTCTGAAACAGCCAAACAATGGACCATTTCTGGTAGGTTGAGCTCTATTTCAAGGTGTTTTTCATCGTGAAAGCAATCAAAATCATATCCATTTCTGTAATATATCTTCCATTCCATCAAATGAGACCAAAAAAACGAGTATACAACTATAAAAACCATTCGAAATTACCACTAAGGGGTGGCTAATTGCTGAGAAATGAACGCCATTATTTATGCTTAGATTTCTTTCATTTTTGGTGTACGTTAAGAAGCATCTTTCCATCATACATTGCCCAAGTTTCAATAAGATAGTCCAACAAACAAATGAGATACAATTCCCGAGATCAAGAGCAAGAGCCCCTCACCAGTGTCAAGGAACCTGCCTTGAGGTTTGC